ATTAAACTAGTAAATTCATTATAATTATAATTAAAATTATTATAACTATTAAAATGATTAAATAAAATAAAATAATGAATTTTCTGTATTATCTGTAATGTACAGTATAAAACAGAAATGTACAGACAGGGCTGTTGTTATATTTTGTAAATAAATCAAGGCGGAACGATTAACTTTTACTAAAATTATAGTATATTATGCAGCCTTGGTGTGAAATAAAAAATAATTATATGTAATAATTTAATTAAAATCTTAAATAAATATGAAATGTATATTATTAAATGTAAATAACTTTAAATATTAAAACGATCAATTAATTAGAAATATCCTAAAAATAGCTGAAATATAAATAAAATATAAAAATATAAACATATTATATCTGTATTGAATAATAAACAGAAATGTACAGAGAGGGCTGTTGTTATATTTTGGAAATTAAAGATCACTTATACTAACTGCCTACAGTTCTGAGCCGATATATCGGTCTATCACTGAACACGAGTCTCAGGCGGCTCTCACCCTTCCCGGATGATCTTGTCGGTGTCTTTGGCCACGTGATAATAACTGATGACGTGATCCAAGCAGGAGAGAGTTTTGTCCACGTTCTCCTGCAGACGCTGCAGATTCTCCGTCTGCTTATGGACCGGGATGATGGAGTTCTCCAGCTGCATCAGACGGCTCTCAAACGAGGACAGGATGGACACCTGACAGGAGACAAAACATGCTTGCATTCATAAAATAAACTACAAAATAATATTTACAATGGAAGTAACAGCAGACAATGGTATATGTACAGCAGATATCATTGTACAACACTGCCACACACACACACCCAAACTTCCAAAAACATATGAATTGATCATCTCTCACCATTCCTTTAGTGAGTTGATCACTCTTCTCCAGGCTTTCACGAATAAAAGACAAAGTTTCTTGCTCCTGTAGAAAACATACAGGGAACGTTATATATGCACACTGTAAATTATAATGACCTCTCAAGTGAATACACCCCATCAACAGCATTGTTGTTTTTTGACATTATAACTTTTCTATCATTAAGCTTAATTAAATGCTTAGTGACATTATTTTTCAAGGCAATCACGCAGATTCTCATTCTAGCTGCTCGCGAATGACATTAATAAGATCCGCTGCCTGATCACGCGATTCTCATGTTATTCTTCATTCTTCCTGTTTGCTTTGTCTCTCTTTAACGGACCTGTTTGAGTTTGTCCTCGATCTCTCGCTTGCGAGCGGACGCGTCTTCGGTCGGGATCATCCTGACAGGCAGAAATGTGACAGAAATGACAGCTGGATGCAAAATCCACAATAATATTACAACATTTAAAGTGAAGACAGCTGAAACTATACAACGCAAACGACAAAATGGCAGTGAAGTGAATCGCATGTACAAAATAAAAGTCCTCCGGTTTTTATTTTATTTTTGTTTTTTATTGTTATTTTGTTTTGTTTATTTGTGTTTTGAGTCCAAATATCAGCCAAAATAAATAAATAAATAAATATATATTAGTGCTGTCAAACGATTAATCGCATCCAAAAAAAAAGTTTTTGTTTACATATGCGTGTTGTGTATATTTATGTATATATAAATACACACACATGCATGTATATATTTAAGAAAAATGTTATTTTTATATATTAGATATTTTTATACATAATATAAAATATAAGAATATAAATGTAAATGCGTGTAAATATTTCCAAAATATATACTGTGTATTTATATATACATAATAAATATACACAGCACACACACATATATGTAAACAACTTTTATTTTAGATGCGATTAATAAATTTGACAGCACTAATATATATATATATATATATATATAAATGAATAAATACGACATACAGAACAATCTTACCAAAGTGGGTTAATCATCAAAATGAACCTCCAAAAAATTACTTTTTTAACTTCCACCTGCTTTTTTTGCAATGCATAAGATTTTGGGATTTAAAAATCACCTTAAATACTTACTTATATATAAAATAATTGGCCAAAACTATATTAACCACAAATTCTAAATAACGATTCAGAGAAAAAAAAAAAAGCATTAAAAGCTCTTTCAGATTGCACATAACTTGCAATTTATGTGAGAATAATGATATAAATTTATCATTAAATTAAATGATTTAATTTTATTCATATTTATAGGGGACATTAACATGTCATACAAAAAAAAAGACAAAAATGAAGAAGAAGAAACTGATTTAAAATTTAAAGTGAAGAGGAATTTCTAATGGTATTAGAAGCCACTTTGATTTTGACAAGTTTTAATGATGTGGTGTTTGTGGGTGACTTCACTGGCCAGAGACTCAGGGTGGCTCTAGTTGTACACAAAACTCCATTCATTTCCTAAATTCACTGAACAATCAATAAATCAATCAATCAATCAACTACAGAAAGTATACAGTAATTTACAGCAGCATATAAATATGTACATCTGTTTTTGTCACTGTCTGCAAAACAGAAGCATAATGCATGATGTCATGCAATATTATATAACAAAACATACTCTGAACACTTTAAATTAGTTAGATATCAAACAAAAACTATAAAGAAGTTAAAGGTATTTTAAATGTCAAGCACATTATTTAACAGGTTGTGGTTGACAAAAAAAAAAACAAAAAAAAATCAGTAACCATTTCTAAAGCAACCACTGCCCTTCATTTTAATCAGTCTTAAAAATATATAACATTAAAAATTCATCAATGGAAATAGTGAGAACTCTGAAGGTCAGACACTCCTTCCTAAGACTCCTCTTGTTTTGTGAAAGCCTAAAAGACAATCAAATGGAGTTACATACTGTACCATCAGACAATGGAAATGAAATTAGGATACTATTAAGAAGATGTTCGTGAATTACAATGACACACCTGTTTTAGAAATTGTCGTCCAAAGTAATTTGTGGCCATGTTCTTCAGGTTTGTTCGGGCTCCTACTTTACAGCGCACATATCCGTAGAGATTGGCTCCCTGTAACACCACTCCCAAAATCACCACGGCCTGAGAGAGACCACAGTATCACTCACAGAACAACATCACTGGAAGATGTGCTTATGCAACACCTAATGAGACACAGACTGCTGAAGAACTGCTCAGAACTCACCAGCCATTTGATCTTAAAGGAGACGAGCGTAAAGAAAGCAAAGATGACCCAGACGACGGGACAGATGATCAGACCCAGCCAGAAGATACGAGACTCTGCGTTTGAGGAGCGGGATGCTGAAGACTGATTCCCACCGGCCTGCAAGCACATATAGACAGGACGTCAGTGTAACACAACAAATGGAGATAATATTCACACATTTAACCAGAAATGCTAATTCATTGTCATATACATGCACGAGCGTTCAAAAGATTGGTGTTTCTAATATAATTATTCATCAAGGACGCATTAAATTGATCAAATGTGACAGGAAAGACATTTATAATATACACAAGTTTTCTATTTCAAATAAATGCTGTTCTTTAATTGCTTGGTAGCACATGGCACTGAGGAAGGGTTAATACCCGAAAACGTTCTGCACATTTGCACCTTTTTGCACATATTTTTGTGACCTCTGAGCATTAAATGAAACAAGCCTCTTTGGCTGAATCTGGACGAGTGCGGAACTCTTTCATCTTTAATAATCAGAAATGTTTCTTGAGCAGCATATCAGAATGATTTCTGAAGGATCATGTGACACTGAAGACTGGAGTAATGATACTGATTAATGATTCAGCTTTATATCAGAGGAATAAATGACATTATACAATATATTCACTAAGAAAACATTTATTTTAAATTGTAATAATATTATACAATATTACTGTTTTTATTACATTTTTGATTAACCCTTGTGCGACCTTTTGGACATTTTTGTCCTTTTCAGTTTTGTTTTTTTGATAATTTTGCCTGCGTTATTGCCAACTGCATAAATTATGGCACAGGTGTGTATTTTTATTGGAATTTTACTATTTCACTTCCATTTCCTTTAATAAATCTATTTTGCACTAGGCACAAAAAATCGTTCCTCTCAGGACCTTAAGGGCAAAAATGTTCCCATTGAAACCTATAAAAACTGCTATTTTTAACTGTAAAATTATGCAATTTTTGTTGATAGGCTTTCATTATATTGGCAAGGCTTTAAAATTAAATTTTAAAAAAAATTTTACCAGATGGTGCCATTTTTTCAGGTTTGACCTATAAAGCAAATACTCGCTTTATTTCTGTTTTCTTCTTCTGCATATTATAGAGCCAATTGGATAAATAATGCAGCTATAATTGAGTGGGTGTGTTGGTATGTGTGTCAAAAAAAAAAATTGTGTGTGTGTTCTTGTAATATTTGAGAGAGAAAAACTCTACTGCAAATCACAAATCCAACCACTGTGTGCACCAGCAGAGTTCTGCTGGCATCTAATGGGGAAAATTTGGTACTGCGCCCAAACAAAATCTTACTGAAAGCTCATTTTTTGAGATATCAACCTCAAATTTGGAATATAACTTGTTTAGATTTATGGCTTTGATTTTCTAGCAGGTATAGAGTTCAACATGTTTCATAAAATATATATTTTATATAAAACATCGTTCATAAATCATTTTCATAAACCTAAACATCTAGAACTTTTTTTTTGGTTTCACTTTTTAAACTTTTTTGACTTCAACAATAATCTGCCATGGGTCTTCTTTAAAATGAGACCAAACTTAACTCTGTGCTCCCAAGCTTCAAATTTTTATGACATGGACATTTTTGTCCACTATGGACCTATGTGTAACTTTTTTTAATTGACGCACAAGGGTTAAATAAATGCAGCCTTTGTGAGCACATAATTTTTTTTTATATCAATCATGTTTTTCTGTGAATAACTACACAAATCTTTTATCTATTTTTAAATATTTTATGCCACTCTACTGAAGACTGTGTGTGTGTGTAACAGTACCTTTCTGGACTCAAACACCCAATGGTTTTTTCCATCATCATCCACTTGATTCCACCAGCGCAAACCCACCATCAGACGGCCGGTTATATTCTACAACAAGACAAACAGGACAGGTTACATGCTGAGGTTTAATATGAAGGGTTAGAGGTTTGTTTGGATCTTTAAATATGAGTTAACGACTTAACTTCCACTAACTCCAGTAACTGTAATGATTTACGAACACCTGCTCAGTTATTCTAAACACAAACCTTCACAGTCCAGAAGTCACATGACAGGAGGAGGATGATGGTGACCATACAGGCGATGAAGGATCCACCGACTGAACCACACAGCAGGTAGACCAGGATGGCAGTGACCCGGAAGAACAGATGGAAGAATGAAGCCACCGGATGCCTGGAATCACACACTCGTTTATTTAGCTAAATGAAGACATACCACACACACCTCATTTGCAATAATTACTATAAACGAACCCAGAGCCCTAAACATACTGCATTTTTAGAATGAAAAATAATTGATTAATAATACATTTAAAAATGTATTTAAATTATAATAATAATTGTAATTATTAATAATGATTTATTCAAATATAATACAATATTTTTACTAATTAAAAAGGTATAAACAATTGTCACAATATTATAATTACTATAAACTAACCCTAAAAATGACATTTTTATTAAGAAATTTAATTAACAACAATAATGTATTTAAATATTTCATTATTAAAAAGTGTAGTGATGTTATAATAATATTAAGATATTTTAATTTAATAAAATCGTACTAAAAGGCCTACCCTACATACTTTTAAAATATCAATAATGCATTTACTTATTTATAATAATGTATTAATGTATTCAATAATATATTATTAATAACTAATATTATTTTAATTAATAACAATTGCTTTATTTTCGTTTTTTGTCCTTCTTCAAATGAGGACGTCCCCAAAATGTACTAAACGAGTCCACAGCTGAGAGAAACACGTGATGTTGATGATCTAAACGGACCATATAACACAACTAATTAACGATGACAACAAACACACCTGATTTTGTTCTTTCTTGCGGCTGAATCTTCCTCTGCATCAAATAAAGCCACATCGTCATCATCGTTTGAGTCCTGGAAGCGAGACAAGATGACAGCTGTCAGGCTCAGAAACACGATTTATAACGACTAATTAAACATAGACCGAGAAAAACTCCACCTGCTGCAGTGAGCTGTTTACTGTCAGAGGACTGGCTAAGCTAAACCCGCTTTGTTCCTTATCTTCAAAGTCATATTAGAGGAACACAAGCATGCTGTACACATAAACTATGTCTACATCGTTTGAGAAGAATTTATAATAATAAAAAAATAGCATATTTTTACTTACCAGCTTCATTTCGACTGCTGTTGTTGCTGGTACTGCTGATGTTGCACGACACGTCACTTCCGGGTCCGTGACGACTGACTACATCGCGCCTGAACAGAAAACAATTTTTATTTTATTTTTTTTATAACAGAAAAAGATAAATAAAAAAATTTGAATATAAGGAATATTATTTCTTAAAAAGTTAGTAAATAATATTTTTTATCACGTGCAATATCCAATTCAAAATTTATATTATTTAACAAAACTCTTCTTATTCCATTCCTTGGCTTACTTTTGTTTTGTATATAGCGTATTTGTCTATCGATATAATAGATATAATAATATATAATATTATATATAAAAATAACCTTCATTAGCCACTATGTACCATGTTCCTCATGCAGTAATATTTGAATTTCTTTCTTTGTTTTTTTTTTTACACATGAATTCTAAATATAGAACTTAGGAAGAATAAATAGCAGTTATGTAATTAGTTATGTATTATCCTCAGTCAAACATTATCCCTGTGCCCCTTTAGGCGTTGTGACATTATGTCTGTAGACTGGTGCAACCGGTTATGTCACACTGCAACGAAACACGTGGACAAATATCAGCATTTCACTGTAGCAATTTTTTATTTGCATAGACAGACAATGTTTTATTGTTGCCAAAGTAACTGTCACATTTGATACTAGGCACGAAATGTAACAAATAAGGGAAAACAGCAGCATATAGACAGTGTACAGAGTCATTAAAGAGCCGTGTCTGTCCTGTTAACCCAACCCTAGTGAAATGTACCGCAATATCCAACTACGTCAAATGGGTTTGGTCACTTGTGCAACATTATTGATAGATGAGAAATGTTTGTCTTACAAATTTTAACATGAATGAAACAATGTTAAATAAAACACACATATACATAATATATTTATATGTTATCACAATATATAATGTGTGTATATATATATATATATGTATATAAATATTTATAGTTTCATTCATGTGAAAAAAAGTATACTTAAAGACATATTTTGTGATATGAGATCAATGCACAAAACATGTTTCTAGATATTTTAATAGGCATCTTGTATAAATGCACTGTTGCAGTCATAAAACTTTAATATCAGTCAGAGGTTACAGTAGATCTCTTATAGTCCTGTTTACACCATTGCATCTGTATCTGTGTAAGGTGAACAAAACCAGGTGTAAACGGGACCCTATAAGATGGAAATGATGTGGATACGAGGAGCAGAAACAGTTTATTTGGGAGAGGAAACAGGAGACGGGGTTGTCAGGGAAGATCCTGCTCCTGGTTCTAAAAGCACGACGCACTCCTTCTTGGGAAGCCAGAAGGCCGGGTAAAGCGGCTCCAGAAACTCAGCCTGGTACTTGTGGATGAGCGCCATGCCGTTTTCCACGTCGTAGAAAGCCAGCACGCTGCCGGAATAATCCACGTAGACGCCGATCCGCGTGGCTTTGGGGCCGCTGAGCGGCGTCTCCACATCGCTGTGCCACGCGGAGAAGCTGCGTCCGTTCCACTGCACACACCAGGAGAAGTTGTTTCCCGTGATGCAGCTGTTGCTCTCGGATCCCTTGCGGTTGATGCTCTTGTAGGTCAGGCCGACGTGAGTGCCTTCTCCTCTTATATCCACCTCAAAATAGTGGCGGCCCAGGTAGAAGCTCTCTACCGTCAGCACCTGCTTGAAGTGCTCGAAGCGCTCGGGGAGCTCTGGATAGCTCTGCTGCCACGGCGTCGTGTTTGTCACCTTCTTTCGTTCTTCTGTCAGACGCAGATACTGGTGGGCCGTATCTGCATCAAAGGTCAGAGGCGTGACGTCTGTGGGATAAAATGGGCAAAAAGTCAAGACTATAGTAATGTGAAGCAAAACCAGCTGAGAAGAACTGTTACATCTGGGAAATTTGACTATGTTTCTGTAGTGAGCATCACTGTTATTTCAATATCTTAATGTACTATTTTACTTTTTATGTTTATATTTTCCATATTTTTTTATTTTAAGGCAATAGCTGCACTAAATTTGAGATTGTGGGCTATATAATGTGTTGTTTCAGACTAGTGGAAAGAAAGTTTCCAACATTTAAGTGTTTGTTTTATTACACTTACATTATTTGCATTTGCAGATTTCAATTACAATACATTTTTTAAGTGCTGTTTCCTCAAAATAATTTTCCCCACTTCAGCAGCACTTGCATACGCCAACCTTAACAGTTGTATTCCAATCTATATTCTGAAGGTTTTTACTGAAGGGTTTGTTCATACAGTATATCATTCCACCTGATTTTATTATTGCACTTTATCTATTTGCATCTGTAGATTTCAATTACAATACAAATCTTTAAAAGTTTTTTCTCCACTTCAGCAGCACTTACATACACTAAACTTAGGAGCTTTATTCCTGTCTATATTCTGAAGGTTTTTACTGAGGGGTTTGTCCATATGTCGTTGCCTGATTTTATTATTGCACTTTATGTATTTACATCTGTAGATTTCAATTACAATACATATTTTTAAAGGCGGTTTTCTCAAAATGACTTTTTCCTCCACTTCAGTAGCACTTACATTCACCAGAACTTACGGTTTTATTTCTATCTATATTCTGAAGGTTTTTACTGAGGGGTTTGTTCAAACAGTATATCATTCCACCTGATTTTATTATTGCACTTTATCTATTTGTGTCTGTAGATTTCAATTACAATACAAATCTCTAAAAGTTTTTTCTCCACTTCAGCAGCACTTACATACACTAAACTTAGGAGCTTTATTCCTGTCTATATTCTGAAGGTTTTTACTGAGGGGTTTGTTCAAACAGTATATCATTCCACCTGATTTTATTATTGCACTTTATCTATTTGCGTCTGTAGATTTCAATTACAATACAAATCTTTAAAAGTTTTTTCTCCACTTCAGCTGCACTTACATACACCAAATGTAAAAGTTTTCTTCCTCACTATATTTTGAAGGTTTTTAAAGAAGGGTTTGTTCATATATAATTCACCAGTTGATTTATAATTGCACATTTTATTCTTGAAACATGGTGCAAATGTAGTTTTTCCTGGCTGTTGACTGCATTTAAAAAGTTCTATAAAAACAGATTTCCAAAATCCCAATATGTCAACAAAAATTTTGAACCTGGTTTTAACCAGTGTTTATACAGTATATATGTTCTGGAAATGTATGCAAATTAGTGCATTTTTTTTATTTTTTGAATTCGTAATGTTAGGCATCACAGCACTTACATTGTTGCTCTTTTGCTGATTTGATTATCTTCATTTGTAAGTTTCTTTGGATAAAAGCATCTGCTAAATGCTTAAATGTAAATGCAATCAATTAACTAGGGAAGTATGGTGATATCTATTAGTTAATATTTTACCCTGTGATTTTTCTTTTGACACTTATTTTATTTCAAGTAACAGAAGTATGTGTCGTGTAACATTTTTTTAATGGCTTTAGTCTTAATTAGCGATAATAACCCCAATAAACACTCACACTTAAGAAAGTCGTCTCTGGTCTCTGGGTTCGGAATTGACATGTTCTTTTTTGCAGCAATAATGGCATAAACCGTCGTCTTTATGCCCACATTATCTGTGAATTGAAAAAAAGATATTTGGGTAAATTAGCAAACCTCTTCATAGAACACAAAGGTGTGATGTTTCTGAATTGCTCAAATTCATAGCAAGATGTGTCACTTTGTGTGGAGATGTTTATTGACGTGACGTGACGTGACATGTGGCCAAGTATGGTGACCCATACTCGGAATTAGTGCACACACAGCAGTGAACACACACAAACCGTGAACACACACCCGGAGCAGTGGGCAGCCATTTATGCTGCGGCGCCCGGGGAGCAGTTGGGGGTTCGTGCCTTGCTCAAGGGCACCTCAGCCATGGTATTGAAGGTGGGAGAGAGCGCTGTACATTCACTCCCACCACCTACAATCCCTGCCGGTACGAGACTCAAACCCACAACCTTTGGGTTATGAGTCCGACTCTCTAACCATTAGGCCACGACTTCCCCTTTTGTTTCCCTATTGTTCTGCATACTGACCGTTTTTACAGGTGTCTTTAAGTTTGTTGGTGTATGAGGTCAGCAGGTTGTTGCACATCTCTTTTGTGGACTGTGCGATAACATGACTGAACGACTGCAGTCGATCCATGAGGCCGATATAAACGCCAGGTAAAGACACATCAACAGTTTCTTTTTTCCACCGTGAATACTCCTGGAAAACAATACTGATATAATTAATACCAGAAACAATTAATAAAACAATTAAGGATTAAGTTCAGAAACACATTTTGCATATGCAAATGCTTGGCCAACCAGTGTTATTTTAGTATTATTTATATCAGTGTATAACATTTTTAAATGTATAAAATCTTAGTATCATTGAGATACTTAGTGTTTATATTAATATTTAGAATTATTTTCATTTTAGTTTAGGTGTTAGTAAATGCGTGTTTTGGTCATTTTTATTATAATTATTTGTTTTAAAATATGTCAATATTGTGTTCATTAATTTTTATTTCAGTTTTTACTTTTCATTATTTTAGTATATAAATTTATACTAAATGAAAATGATAAATGTTGCCTTTTTTATATATATACTATTATTTGTAGAGAGAGAATTTATTTGTAGATTTATACACTATTAGTTTTTATTAATATTTTAAATTGGTGTTTATTTTTAGAATTTCAGTTTTCATTTTAATTTTAGTTTAATTTTTAGTAACCTTGTTATGTTTTGTTTTGTTACTTTTTTTACTTTTTTTTTTAATGTTACTATTCAGGTTTGATATTTATTCAAGTTTCATTTGTATTTATTTTAAGTTAGTAATTTTAGTGCTTCTAATTAAACTTATTTTAGTTTTTTTTCATTTATAGCTTTTCAGTTTAATTTTACAAAAGTGTTTTTAATAGTTTTGGTTTTAGCTAACAGTAATATCCCTGTGGCCAATGCATTGCAACTTTTTAACTTTAATGCATTTTAACTTTACACATGACCTTTAAAGTATTAGTTGAATGAAATGAAAAAATGAAAATTAGGCTGTGTTTTACTCACCCCAGAGGCATCCTAGGTGTATATGACTTTCTTCTTTCAGACGAATCCAGTCAGAGTTATATTAAAAATTGTCTTTGATCTTTCAAGCTGTTTAATGGCACTCAGCGGGTGTTGCAGTGCATCAGTCCAAACGAAGTTAAATAAAAAGCACCCATCCATTAAAAAAAGTGTCTCACACGGCTCCAGGGGGTGAACAAAGGCCTTCTGTAGCGAATCGATGCGTTTTTGTAAGAAAAATATCCATATTCAAAATGTAATAATCACTTTAATCTAGCTTGCGCTCACTGTTGTAAACGGAAACAGTTCCGGGCGGATGACGTATGAGGTCGGCGTTGCGCATGCGCCGGTCAGAAGTGACGAACGCGGAACGCAGCGAGGGTGAGTAAAATACAGCCTAATTTTCATTTTTGGGTGAACTAACACTTTAACTGACAGGTGTCACAGATACTTTAAGGTCATGAACAACCCATCAGGAAACAGGAAGTTAACCTCCTTACCTGCAGGAAGTCAATGTCATTTTTGTTCTTGGTGATTTTCTCGACCTGACTCTGGGTTTTCTTGAGTTCAGTGCAGCGTTGCTCCAGATGAACTCGGATTCCTTCGGCCTGCCGCAGCGCCTGTCGCTCCTCCACCTCTAAGATCTCGCTCACTTCTTTCTTGGCCTGCTCCACAGCTGCCATCAGTATGTTAAACTGCTCCTCGATCACTCCACGCACCTCCTTCACAGACGCCTGCGGCCAGACAGACAGACAGACAGACTGAGACACTTCAAAGTCAAAGAGACAACTGAAAAATCACTACCAGAGCAAAGCTGGAGGGAAATGCCTTTGAATGACATCTATTTATAAGTATTTGTAGGTCCAAACATTTAGTCATTTCTAGAATATACAGTATATATCCTCTAAAGCATGTCAGTGATGACCTATCAAATATCATCTTATATTAAATACTTAATAATGTACATTTAACCTGACATTAATAAAACATAAAATATATCCAGAAAGGTTAGTCCGCTCACTCTTACCTGAACCTGAATTCAGAGAAGGAATGACCTCCATTACCAGTCTCTAGTTAATATGTGAACTATTAAACACTCTTAAAACAAGTAGCATTATGGTCTTGTATAACCAAAAATTACTGACTATACAGAAGACACACTGGTAACAGAAGTAAAATGGGTTGCGAAGAGTGTTTCATATTGATTCTAAGACAGTACAGTAAAGTTCAAGTGTTTATTTCTTTGAATGTGGTGTTTTACCTCTATATTCACTGTGTTGACCTGTAACTTGTTAATGGCGTTTTCTGCTGCTGTGACCGTCTTCACCATGTCTGTCTGTTTGTCCTGAAGCTCTCTCTGTAAACACACACACAATATTGTGTTGAAAACAAAAAAGCAATATATATATATACACACATATATATATATAGTCACTGGTAAAATGTTCTATCACTGTAATGAAATATTTTTAAAAAATTTAAATTAATATAAAAATAATGATAGTTATCACTGTAAAAATATGATTTAAAATGGTTTTCAGAGGCAAATTCGGATTAATATTATGCATTATAAAAGTAGATGTAACCAAAACCAGCATCTCTTTGCATAAGTGCGTAATCAGATAGGTATCAGTCTCTTTGTTCAGCTTTTGCTTTGCATTCCACAGACAAGTTCAGACAAAAATATCCTCCACTGAGCACACAGCTCATGTTCATCAGCAGTTGTTGTCAGTGTTATTCAGTGTGTAGGCTTGCTAAAGGGAGCATCACACACAATAGAGCTTTGACTCTCACATTAAAGCAAAAAGAGTCCGTTTTCCCTCCACCCTGACCACCAGCCAACAATCCCAGAATAGTTCAGGTGATACCTGACGGTGTTTCACTGCACTGATGTCAATGAGAAACCCTCCCTGCACTGTCTCCAATTAAAACACGCTCAGATACACACACATCAATGTTTGTTCACTCATCATGAGTTAGCAAGCTCAGCATTTGAAATAAAAAGGCATATTAACAGTTCGGAATATATGAAGATAATTTGATGTAATGAATGCTACTATCACTCATGCAAAAAAGCTGGTTGCCCTAGGCACAAAATTACAACTGAAAAATGAACAAGAAAACTTGACAAGGCATGCTAATGCGCCAAAATTTAATATTGCACATTTAGAGTTTGTTCACGTAAGGAGCCACCTATAGAAACTTATTAAAACTCAAAAAACTGTTTTTGCAACAACCTGGCAACCACACACAACAGTCTACTCTAGCATTATAGCGTCTATTCTTCATAAAATGTAGTTCTACATTACTGTTGCTAGTCATTTATTATAGTTACGTGATGCATGTCAAACACAGACACGACAATGTACAGTTTCACTGGAATTCACTTGGAGTATCGTCACTGACAATGCACTTTAAAAGAGCTAGACTTATGCATATGTATAATATCATGTCCTCACTATTGGTGGATATGTAAAGGAGATATGCGTGTGTCATAGCTTCTCTGTTAATCAGCAGAGAGGAAGTTTCTCTCAAGGTAACTGGACTGAACGGTTAGCTCTGTCTAGCAACGCAGTCAGGCAGGATTGGTGTTATGTATGTTGTGTAATCTATTGCTCGTGTCAAAACATCCCTAAGAATGCCTCAGATCCACGAAGAGACCTGGACACTCCCTGCTCTGCATGCGAGGACAATACATCAAACTCATTCACCTCACGGTTGTATGCACTTGTTAGGGAACACCCTAACAAGCACACACACATGCAGGGTGGATTGTTTCAGTGCATTGCATTTAAGAACAGTTTTCCTAACAGTTCTGATGTCCTGAATAGTTTAACCAATCATAATATTTTCTGTCTTCAACCTATTTCTTTCTTCTGTAGAACAATAAATAGTGTCATTTTGCAGGATATTAACATCGGGTTTTCATTTAAAAGCATACAATAACTGTTAGGTATATAAAAAAAAGCACATTGCATGGTCCATGCAATGTATTATTATATGCATTATTAAAATGTCATTCATGGAATTGTATTCTATGTCTTCTGAAGACATATTGCAGCTTGATGCAAAGAATGTCTGTTTCTTACATAAGGCATTGCATGCCTTCAGAAGACTTGAAATATAATCATATGGTGAAATGTTATAGTTTTATGGTGCTGTCATATTTTGAGCTTTCTATAATGTTACAAAATATTTCTATTTCAAATAAACGGTGTTCTTTTGAACTTTCTACTCATCTGTGAATCCTGAAAAATAAAATGTATCACGGTTTCCACAAAAATATTAAGCAGCACAACTGTTTTCAGCATAATAATAATCAGAAATGTTTCTCGAGCAGCAAATCAGCATATTAGAATGATTTCTGAAGATCATGTGACACTGAAGACTGGAGAAATAATGATGAAAATACAGCTTTGATCACATGAATAAAATTGAGTTTAACAGATATTCACATAGAAAACAGCTATTTTAAATTGTAATAATATTTCACAATACTACTGTATTTTTAATTAAATAAATGCAGCTTCACTTTCATTGAAAAAGAGCATCATGAATTTGCTTTACTGAAGAAAGAAAAAACACCTTTATTTGTTTAGCATGCAAATATGCCAGAGTCTGACTGTAAATAACCCAGCAGCATTCATATACACGGCCACAGCAAAAACCATCAAGAAATGACATAAAGTAATGTTTCAAGCATGTTAAAGACACGCTAAACCTGTGTTTAGTGTTGCATCATCCTGAAAACATGTCACATGTCACAAAAAGTGTTACATTCTGCTTCCGATCACATTGAGAAACCTCTCTTTAGAAAATACCATACAAGTTTTTTATTGATAAGTGTGGTCATGTCGGTCTTCACTACATGCTTCATAGATGTTTTTCATTCTCGAAGAGATGATTTCAGCCAGACGTCATGAACTGACGTTCACAATTGGATGTAGAACAAGTTTCAGATTAGAGAGCAGTTTATTTTCATTAGAAATGCATTAAAAGATTATACCTACGTCAATGAGGTTTCTATCAGGAAAGGAGAAACCTTAAGAGATCTCTGAAAAATCTCACTTGTCACAATTAGTGAGCAATGCGATTGAGTCAAACTCACACTAAACTACTATACACCCTAAATACATAACTAACCAAGCTTAACCAAAGAATAACCTAATTAATGATGGATAGTGAATCCTGAATAATCAATAATGTCTCTGTAAAACTGAAACTGTTTTGTTACATTTTTGTTACACTGTTGCCTTTAAAAAACTCACCACCACATTACAACTCTCCTCAACATTTATGTCTGGAACACAAAGTATTGAAGTTCATTGTGTGAGATTGATCACATCATGAACTCTCAGTATGAGCAACAGTAACAGCCTTGATGACCACGTATAGTCATTAATCATGACCACATTGTCCCGTTATCAGGCCTTTGTTACAGTATGTGTGACCTGTTCTTTTAGGTCAGAGAGAGAAATAGCATGATGAATGACATGATCTGATCTGCATCAAACACGGAGAGATGCATCCTGATATGGTTTTGTACTATATGATCTAACAATAGAGGAAACATTCTGTTCCTTATTTCACTGAAAAGATTCATTAGATATAAGGAACAGTCTGTATGCTTGAGGCTAATATCACCCTTAAAGGTAAAGTGTAAGTTGTTAAAATCTAATAAGTAAGTTGGGTGCAAATCCTGTGGCTGAACTCGGACCAGCATCCTACTCTTGCTATTTCTGCCATATATTTACATACAGTTTCTTATGCATGCTAGTATGTGATTCAGAATGCTATCATAACAATCTTATGTTAGCTTGAGCATCTTGAAACAGCAACACTGTCCCAGTGGCATGATTTTGGCAATCTGTTTGATTGACCAATGGAAGACGGAGAAGTGTCTGGGAATATTTTTTGCATCTATTGCAATATTTTTGTTCTAGTGGCTCAAAAATGGCATATTTCACCTTTTTTTTCTGGTCCAAAAATATATGATGATTAAAATGGCTGCGCAATGGAGCCTTTTTACCCTAAATACTATCATTTTCACTCTCTAATTTTACACTAACAGATCATTGTCGTGATAATTTCACAGAAACTGTTGAAATTTTTTTTGTCATACACTACTGTTCAAAAGTTTGGGGTCAATAACATTGTAATAATAGTTTCATTAGCAAGGATGCATTAAATTGATCAAAAGTGACAGTAAAGACATATATTACAAAAGATTTCTAATTTCAACTAAACGCTGTTCTTTCGAACTTCTATTCATCAAAGAATCCTGAAAATAAATATATCAATACGAAGCAATGTTTTCAACACTGAAAATAATAAAAAATGTTTCTCGAACAGCAAATCAGCATCTTAGAATGATTTCTGAAGGATCATGTGACACTGAAGGAGTACCCTCTTAAAAATAAAGGTGCTTAAAAGGTTCTTCACAGCGATACCATAGAAGAACCATTCAGTCAAAAGGTTCTTTAAAGAACCATCTCTTTCTTACCTTTTTATAATCTGAAGAACCTTCTTTCGCCACCAAGAACAGAAAGGTTCTTTAGATGTTAAAGGTTCTCTATGGAACCATTTAGACAAAAAAGGCATCGTGAAGCACCTTTATTTTTAAGAGTGCAATGATGCTGAAAATTCAGCTTTGAACCACAGAAATAAATTACATTCTAAAATATATTACAATAGAAAACAGATATGATAAATTATAATAATATTTCACAATTTTACTGTATTTTTGATGAATTAAATGCAGCTTTGGTGAGCATAAGAAACAAAAAACCCAAACGTTTGAACGTAGATTCTCATTACCTAAATATTTCGCAAAATTTCAAGTTATAAAGCAAACAAGTAAACAGGCGTACCTCAATCTTCCTGCGCGCCTCAGGGATGGGCACGGCGTTGTGTCCGCGGTGCTCCTCCGCCACGCACTCCACACAGACGCAGCACGCGTCAGCGCAGCAGTACAGCTCCAGCGCGCAGCGGTGCGTCTCACAGGTGCGTCTCTCGATGTCCCGCAGCGGCTCCACCAGCCTGTGGCTCTGGAACTTGATGTTCTCCAGGTGCGGCCTCAGGTGAGCCTCGCAGTACGACACCAGGCAGGTCAAGCATGACTTCTTGGCGCGGCACGGCCGGTCGATGCAGGAGTCGCAGGTGACATCGTTTGGCCCCAGCGCCTCCTCTTCATCCTGAGGCTTCTGAGGGTCCTCTGGTTCCTTGAGGTCCTCCTGAATCTTGCTTTCCTCAATGGTCTTGCTGTCTTTCTCTCCTGCGGTCTGGTTTTCAGTCTCTGGAGATACATTGGTCTTCTCCTCTGTGGACTTCAGATTGCTCTCCTCTGGGTTCTTCTGGAGTTTTTCTGAACTCAAGCTGCTTGCTGGCAGATCTGCTGTCAGCACCACGTCGACCATGATTGCTCTCCTTCTGTCTTGAGCTTTGACTTCAGTTTAAAGTTGAAGCCAAGCCCAAACTTATGAGAAGTGAGTTGGATCTAAGCCACGCCCCCTGAAACGCAACTATTTCCTCATATTCTTCTCATACTGAAACAGTCAGAGGCGGTGGGCGGGGCTACACTGTAATGTGGGCGGAGTTCGTATGCAGATCAATAAGGCATGCGGTTGCTGTTATTATGATGTGTTTTGGTGATTTACTTATGTTACAGACTGACATAATTTTGCATGGCTTGCTGGTTATAGTTCATTACTCATCCCAAACCAGTTTACAATGTACAAATGAATCAGACCTAGAAATTTCTAACTGTTCTTGCTGGGTTTTTTTTTCAGGGTAAGAGTTGTGTTTTTAAGATGCAAGGGTTTTTTTTATATTAAAAGTATATATTATGTGTTTAATTATTAAATAAAACTATTTAAAAATACATAAACAAATAGTAACAATATAATATTGACATAATTAATGTAAACATAATTAAAACATTTAATTTTATAATTTAGTTGAAATATTATTTTATTATAATAATACTAGTTTTACTCACGCTCATGTTGTTCCAATCCCATCTGACTTTCTATCTTCCATGGAGCACAGGAAAACATGCTGCCATTTACATACAATGCAAGTTAAAATCGGAAAGATGATAAAACACCATAAAAGCAACATGAAAGGCGTCTATATGAATTGTGTGCCACGTTCCAAGTCTTTTGAAGTCATAAAAATAGCCTTGTATTGTCAGAAAATCTTGCAGAATCAATATAGCGCTACATCAAAACAGTTGAATATCTACTTCAGTTTATTTGGTCAGTAAAATCAATGTATCATTTTCATTTCAAATGAAAGAGGAGAGCAACATTCTCTCATACACACATCTCAATATGACACACTTACATTCATGAGCATTCAGTGAAAGCAAGTCAAAGGTGAATGATTTTGGTTAAAATCACTGAATTATAAACAAAACGCATCCCCAACCTATCAGTGCATAAGTACAACTGTAATACGGTGAATATGATTATTATGTGTTTAGGTCATAAAAATGCATTTCCCACATATTCATTACTACTGTGTGCTGTATTAATATTGTACGTAGATTATGGCATTGTTGTTAGCAAATTCAAATACATCAACCTACAACCGTAATAAAAAAAGAAAGTCTTCATTTCTGTCTCCTATAATATTTGCTTTAATCTACACAAAAACTGTTTCAAATCCTAGTGAGCAGCCTATCTAGACAGCATTTGAAGACATCACAATAATTATGCTACCATCCAGATACCTTCATTTGGACAACATTTTAAAAGCAGCATCACACGTAACCTTGGCTGAGAAAATGCATTGCAAACTCTATTGGAATCAATAGTCTCCTGTGTTTCACATACAGATGTGCAGTTTATCAAAATAGTCTCTTAAAGGGATAGTTCACCCAAAAATTCCGTCATCATTTACTCATTCTCTACTTGTCCCAGACCTGAATGAGGTTCTATCTTCTGCTCAACACAAAAGAAAATATTTTGAAGAATGTTGGTAACCATACAGTTGACGGTAGCCATTGACTTACAAAATATGGAAAAAAATACAATGGAAGTCAATGGCTACCGTCAACTGTATGGTTACCAACATTCTTCAAAATATGTTCTTTTGTGTTCAACAGCTGAAAGACATTCATACAGGTTTGGATCAACCTGAGGGTGAGTAAATGACAGAATTTTAATTTTTAGGTGAACTTTCCCTTTAAGAGACGGCAAAGGCAGCTGGAACAAAGCTAAAGTGTGTCCTGTACAGATCAGATAAAGTTTTATGCATCTTTTTAGTCTTCATACAGCTGCATATTGAAGCTGAGAGCTAATCTGGGGTCAGAGGTCAAAACTGCAGTGCTTTATTACCACTGATCTGACAACAGTGCATAAGGCAATGATCCTTACATTCAATAATGTCATTTAGCTAAGCGAATAGGAAGCACTGTCATAAATGAAAAGAGGCTCTCTTTGCACGGCATTGCTTGTTATAAAGTCAACACCATCCTGTGTACTTTCTTATTGCACATTCCTGGTCTTTTCACGAATCGTCAGTGCATATTATTCTAAACGAACAAATGTTTAGCTCCATAATCCTTCATCAAATTGTCATTCATCTCTGAAAGCTCTTTCTTTTCCAGCTGATGCCATCATTCATGTCTCATCTAGCATGTTTTTTCTTGTCAAATACCCTGTTTCTTTCATAGATATGTCACATTCTGCAAGTAAAATGGGTTGTGAGCCGAGTTTCACGTTGACTTTAATTCTAATGCCTTCATGCACCAATTGAATCGTCATGTCAGTGTCCATCTTCCCGTGTCTTCTGCTCTTCATCCCATCATCACTGGATTCCCACCAGTTCAGTGATGGGCGGCGCGAACACCATCAGCTCCTGATATTTGTGGAAGAACAGACTCAGACGGGAGATGTAAGCGTCCTCCTGATACGGCAGCTTCTTCTCCTTCAGATACTGAGACACGAGCGGCTTCACCTGACACAATAAACACATGCACATTCACTATTATGTATATTTATTTGGCATCTTGTCTTTATTGATTAGTTTATCCGTTTTAATCTAGTTTGAATAACGTTGCTTCATTAGTTTAGTCATTTTTATGAATGTATTGTTACTGTGTTTATGCTGCATTTTAATTTAATTTAAATAAAATCAATTTTATTAACATTTGCCATATTATCCTTATCTATTACTATCACTTTTTAAAATTAATCTTGGCTAACGTTAGTTCATTACTTTATTCCTTTTTGTGAATTGTATTGTTACTTGTAATTACTGTTACAATTACTGTTAATTTATTTAATAATTTTATTTAATTCAATAGATTACTTTAATTTATTTTAATCTATTTAATTAATTTAATTTAATTTTAATTTAATTTAATTGAATAAATTAATTTTTGCAAATTAAATTGTTACTTTATTTGTTTATGTTACAATTTAATCTAATAAAATTTGTATATTGAATTGAATTGTTTATTTGTATATATTTAGTTGGTATATCATCCTTACCCATGAATATTTTCTATTTAATTAATCTTGTTTGACTGATGTTTAATTCAATTATAAAATTAACTGGTTAATTAAATTATTACTTTTTGTGAATTTTATTAATACTTTATTTGTTACGGCTGCATTTTAATTTATTTAAATATTAAGGTACATTTTTAATATCCTGTTTATCATATTAATCAGTTTTTACTTTTTTAAAGTTACTTTATTTGTGAATTTAATTTACTGTCTTAAAGAATGTAATGTTTATTTGCAATATTTAGTTCTTTAAATTATGTGAATAAATGATAATATAAATAATACATATATAATGCATAAACATGAATAATTACAAATTATGATAATGATATATACTATTATAAATTCAATTATTTAAATTAAATTACACTTATAAATTCTATTAATTATATATTATAATTTATTATAAATTCAATGATTCCATTAAAATGCAGCATAAACATTTAGAAAAATATAACAATTATAAATTAATTTATTAATTAAAATGATTTAATTTAAATGCTAGTTTAAATGATTACATTATTTAATAATGACATTTTTGGAGGGATCTGCAGTTTGGTCCATGTCCATGAGTTGTGGTTTGAGCGCACACCTTCAGGCACATGTTGTCAGACAGGAATGGGAAGAGGTGATGCTCCACGTGGCAGTTGATGAGGGAATGGCCGAAGGTCCAGTCCAGCAGCGGGTTTCGGGGAAGGTTCAGGACTCCGTGTGTCATCTGGTAGATGCGTTTGGGCCGGTGAGTGGCAGAAAACATTGGCAGGCCAATGTGCTGCGAAAGCAGAGACACAGAAACCAACTCAAAAAAAGAAAACTGCAACTACAACTCCAATATAAGAATAAAATGCAGAAACAGAGAAGAACGCGGAGCCTTTAAGCGATTCAACTTTTAGCTCAGTGTGTGTTTGATCTTTAAGTGGGATGAAATGTGTTCAGCAGCCCGAGAGACACCACTGACGCCACAGGGGACCTGAACTGGACAAAACATACAAATGCACACACATGCATTTATCTCACACACACATACTGTAACACACCGCACAGCATTCACTCCTAAACAAAGATCTCACACATGGCTGTGAGTCTCAGCACAAATACCTCAGAGGATCAGCACAATACAAAAGTACATTCTATTCTCCCTTTGCTCTGCCTGGGAAAATCATGCGTGAATTGTTCTCCGCCATTTGACTTTTTTCTGCAGTTGAACCCTGTGAACCTTGTGAGCAGGAGAGGAGAACAAAGCCGTATTGAGTGGGTCTCGCAGGAAAGGATGGAGAGACACACAAAGACAGGGATGGATTGATGCAGACTTCAGCTGAATAGCTTGGAAAGTTCCCACTCAGAATGATTACTCTTATGAGCCCGAGAGAGACGACAGATTAATGTAGTAATGGGTCGTGTGCTGTCTGGATAAAGCTCAAGACCAGAATAATACTAGTTGCAAGTGATCCATTAACTATCACCACTGTATCTTTGATTATAGCTGAAGTGTGTAATTTCTGTACATCACTAGTATGCAGAAACAACTATTTCTATATTTTCTGAAGATAAGTAGTGTGCATTTATATTTTATGAGCATGCAAATACAACTACAGCATACAAAACAACTGTTTTTTTTAAGATAAATGGTATAAATATAATATAATATTTTTTCTGAGCATGCAAAAACTGCTATATTTGATATTTTCTGAAGAAAAGAAGTGTAAATGATGTAATTCATATTCACTAAACATGCAAAAATAACTATATTTTTTATATTTTCTAAACATAAGTGGTATAAATCATTTCATTGTTATTTTCTGAACATGCAAAAAACACTATTTTTTTTTTTATATTTTCTGAAGATAGGTAGTATAAATAATTAAATTAATATTTTCTGAGCATGTACTGTAAAATAAATATAGCATGCAAAAACCACTATATTTTATATTTTCTGAAGAAAAGTGGTGTAAATAATTTAATTTAGATTTTTGAGCATGCAAAAACAAATATATTTTCATATTTGCTATATTTTACAACAATATATTTTCTAAAGAGAAGTGATATAAATAATTGAATTGATATATTTACTGAGCATGTCAAAACAACTATAGCATGCAAAAAAACTATAATTTTTATATTTTCTGAAGATAAGTAGGGTAAATAATTTAATTAGGATTTTCTGAGCATGCAAAAACAGCCATAGCATGCAAAAACAACTATTTTTCATATTTTACTGAAGATAATTGGTGTAAATAATTGATGCTCTGGTTGTATCTCAAACAACTGTAGAAAGCATGCAAATCAAAAATATTGGTGCACCACCAAAAAATATATATCATAGTCATATATCAAAATGCAGCTTGCTGTCTTTTTGCATTTGATCTCACCTGAAATATGTTGACGTGTATGTACGGCAGGGAGAACATGGCTCTGCACAGAAGCATGACCAGCAGAGCGGAGCTGCATGACAGACCCGACACACTCCTGAGCAGATAATACTGAGAAAAAAAGCCCAGACACACACACGGGACAGTGCGCAGGATCTGGAGCGGAGACTGACCCTTCAGCTGACCTGAAACACATGACAGAATATGCTGGAGGTTTCTCATCAGCGCATACACTCACCCACAGAAGAGATCAAATGTAAAGACACTTTACCGAGTTAAATGAACTCGGTTGATGTGGCGTGCTAAGCAAAAAGTCATTTATATCCTCAGTGAAAGTGTGTGCAACAACAAAATCACTGTTACTCAGAACATTTCTGATGTTTAAATGAAAAGTTCACCACAAAATGATCACATATGGTTAATCTCTTGTTGCTTTATCACATATTAACTGGTTAGGATGCTCTGAGAAGCTGTGTCTGTAAGGGCTGAAAGGCCTCACCGACGGCGACGATGGGCGTGATGATGGGGACGGCCAGCGGCGCGATGAACAGATAGACGGATCGAGGCAGGAAGGGGATTTTCCAGGTGCTGGAATCTCCCAGACCGATCACATTAGTGTGAGCGTGATGCATCTTCACGTGAGCCTGAACGCCGGCCCGCGCTGAGAACGAGCCGCACACCTGAGAGACCACAGAGATTCACGTGATGCATGCAGGGGTACAGAAGAGACCACATCTCATCAAAATCTGTTCTCATTTAAGAGTTTGTGCAGCATTTAAAACAAAGAAAAGTTTATGTTTAATGAAGAATTGTGCACCATTTCTAGGTGACCTACCAAATGTAAGTAAATAAGTGTCATTGATCATGTAACTCTTTGTACAGATGTGCTTGCTTTCACTGAAGCTCAAGATGCTTTTTGGAACATCTCAAATCATGCGAGATTTTAATTTAATGTGATGATTTAATAATTTAATTTAAATCTTAAATTAAAACAATAATTTGCATTAAATATTTAAATTGTAATATTATCATTAAATTAAATTGTTACATTATTTACTTACATTATTTTAAAGTTTTTGTTTATATGTATGTTTGCATATTATCTTTATACATATTTTTATAATCTTGTTTGACAAAAGTTACTTCATCAATTTTTTCCTTTTTTGAATTGCAGTTACTTTATTATTAAATATTATTAAGTGGCATTTTAATTTATTGAATAATTTAAGCTGCAATTTAATAATTTAATTTAATTAAAATAATAAATAAAATATTTTAAATACTTAATACTTAAATAAAATATTTTGAATACTTTAATTTGCTATTTTAATGAAATAATTAGTAAACATTAAAACATTTCAATGATGTAAATATTTAATATTGTAAATAATTTAATTAAAAAAGTAAATAATTTAATAATTTAATTTAAATTTTAAACTAAATATAGGTCAGATGTTCTTGGTTCCATTGAAGCTCAAGATGGTTTTTGGAACAATATGTAGCTCCAGTGCTCCTGTCATTAAAGCAAAAGAGAAACTCAACAAATACTAAGAACATTTGATTCTGAAATCTGATTTCATTCATACTGTTGTGCTAACATAAATTGCAATGAAAATTGCATATAAAACTATAAAATCGAATAATTTTTGGGGCCCACTGTATGAGTACAGACTGTTGCCATGGAATATGATCAACATTATAACTCTTTTACATTCTTGAGAGGATGGAAACTGTAAATTAATCTAAATCCTCTTAATCTATAAAGTTAATTCATGAAGAATTAATCAGCTAAATTCTTTCCATACTTTTGTATTTTCGTGTTGCAGAGAATTAGCTGCATGTGAAACACACTTCACTTATACACTGATGACCCAAAACACATGGAATTAAGGTGAAAATGGAAAACCATGGTACTCTTGGTGCTTTTTCATATAATATATAATTTTTCTACTTTGCAATGATAGATTTCCCTATATGTTTAATAATTTCACATCGGTACACTGTTGTTTCAGCCCAACTTTGGGTCAAATATGGACTAACCCAGCTGTTGGGTTAAATTTTTTAATTAAATTTTTAACCCAAAAGTTGGGTTAGTCCATATTTGACCCAAAATTGGGTTAAAACAACCCAGCATTTTTTTTTCTTGAGTGCAGCAAATCTCACTTCGATGAAGAAGACGGCCCAGAAGTCGGCCCAGACCGGAGACTCGCTGAGCGCGCCGTGACTGGCCAGGTGTGTCCCTTTAACGGTGATGACAGCGTGAACCACGCCCATTATCAGAACACCTGACAGGAAATACAGCGGCTGAGACGAACCCAACAACAGGAACCCTGCAGACACAAGAACAACATCACTGTAGCGGCGCGGAGCTCGACTCACGACAAACATATGAGCACAAACAGGTAGATGACATTTATGCTCCGTAATCAAAGCTTTGACACAAAATGCTTGCATTATGTAACTTTTAACAGGTTTAGAAATGAGTTATTGAGAAAACACTAAAGTAGAAACAATTTTCACTCTGAAGTTTCTAGTAAATTTCTCAATGAGTTACAAATAAATAGCAAGTAACAGAATTTTGAAGTAGAAAGACTGAAGTTTTTTCTTGTAAAACATGCTCTAATAATCTTTTAGATTAAGGGTGCCTTTACATAACGATTGTAATAAAAACGGAAAAGTTCTGTGTAGACAACAACGTTGTCAAAACAAACACAACTAAAAGCGCTGTATTAAGCATGCCAGGCCAGTAGATGGCGATGCCACTTAGTAAAGAAACATTATGCGAACACGTAATATGCATTCCTATCTACCTTTTTCCTAAGCCCCATGATGCTTTGCACAAATTATGGGAGTAACTTCCCTTTATACTGTAAACAGTCAGCAAAATTTTGCTCTATATGAGCGCAATAATAAGCATTTTCAAAAACTGAGTACAATGAGGTGACATTATTTTACTCACCCTTTAACCGTCGATCATTAAAAGGAAATTCAAAAGTGTAAAAGCATTAACAAATTACTTTCAACATACCATAAATAACTCCTGAAGAGCCTCCTTCTATCTGCAGCAATATTACGTACATGTTAAATATAATTATAGTAATATATGTCTATATTTGGTAACAATTACATTTTACAGCATCCGTGTAAAGACAAACCTGGAAAGAGA